GGTCCATTTCACCCCACGCCACTTTTCACTCTACCCTGCCATTTTTTCCAACATTGCTTGCCTACTTACCATTCCCATAACTTATTATAAATGTCACTTGTAATAAAAAAGTACATTAAATTAATAAATTTTTTTAACTTTATTCCTATTAAAGTGGTTATTAAATTGATGTCGGCACTTCAAAGGCCCGGTGCTGCTATGCATATATACAAATATACTATTGAAACTTTGTAATTGCTGTTGTTTCCTTCATATCATTTTGGGTGTGTTTCGATTAGTAGTGATAGAAGTACTTTTTTTTTTCCAATATGATTAGATAAAAATCAAATGATATAATGTGATTTATGTTTGAATTGAGTTTGAAAAGCTTGAGAAGCTAAAACTTATTTGGGTGATTAATAAAAAAGTAAGTTTAGATATAAAATAACTTAAAAGGATAAGAATTTTATTAAGTTATACATATCTAATATTATATATATAATGTGACCATTTTAAAATAAGTATTAAAAATAAAATTATTAAAAATAAAGAAATTTAATTTATTATTAGGACGAAATCAAAAAATACTAAAATACTTAATTAAATATATTTAATGGATAAATATATATATATATTTAACAGTGGCAAACGCTGCACCTCTGTTCTTCCCCTTTTTTGACTTCCCAACCAAAAAAAAAAAAAGCATACAACACCCAAAATGATTATACTCCAAAAGTTTTTCTTGGACGTACCAATAAAAGCAATAAAAAAGAGTTTCTTCCTAAAATCTTATTTGTACAAATAAATTTGATTGTAAAAATATGATTCTTAACACATCTCAAATAAAAAAAATAAAAAAACTCCTTGTGTCGGCCCAGAAGTCAGTTTAGTGATTCCAAATGCACCTTTTGCCTTTTACTCAAAAATAAAAAATGAAAAAGAAACATGCTATTGCACAAAGCATTGGAGTTGATGTTTTCTTATTATTAAATTACGTTAAAGAATCAAGTGGAGGTTATTTAGGATGAACACTGTGATTGCTAGATTTTGTTTTACTGATTCTAGCTTGCAGCTCTAATCTATGCTCTAGATTTCCAATCCGTTCTTTGGATCTTGTTTCGGACATCATAGCGTTGCCGGAAAGGGTGGCTCTGATGCCAAATTAGTACATAGGGAAAAGAGAGAAATAGAGATCACACGTGTACATTATTCAACAGCTCTTCGTAATCCATCTAAAGGGATATTTATACTTCTAATCCGGTTTAGTAACAAACATTATTCTCTTACACAATTTTTTTATGATAAAAAACTTTAGGTGAGGTGGGTCCCGGAAGCTCACCAGGACTAACACATTCCTCTAGACCTAATGACTGTTTACAGAAATACTTACAGATTGCTTACTAATAAGGTTTTTATATTAACAGCAGGATTCAAACTCACAACCTTATAAGCCGATTCCTTAGTTGTTACACAATTGAACTAACACCTGTCCTAACACAACTTGACATGTATCAGCAGTGGTAAAGTTCAGAAGCCGGACGCAATGGACTGGTGGTGGTCAAATCTCCAAATCAACAACGTCCTTTTTTGCCATTGCACATGCGGGGTTATTTCGTCCGTTATTTTGTTCTAATGCTACTGCTGTCTCTTTTAGAATGTAACATATATTGAAGTTAAGCATTTGTTTATATTTTTCTATTGCTCACATATTTTCCCGCAATCGTGAACTTAATTATGATTATAATATACTCTTCTGGTCCTAAATATAAGACCCTTATACACACTAATATAAAAGTCTTAAAGTGTGTATAAGAGTCTTATATTTAAGAACGGAAAAATACCATTAATCTCTTGAATTTGGCGTCGAATGAAAGCAAGAGTGAGGATGGGACGTTGTGAGGAAGAGGTCTGAGTGCAAAACTGAGTGGAAGAAGATAATTTATATAAAATTTTTGATGTAAAATTTTTTCAATGTATGATCATTTTTTTAGAAGTAACAATTATAAAATTATCTTTATTTTAAATTAGATATATCTATCAAAATAAGAATTTGTCTAAAATATAAAATAAATTTAAAACTAGGTCTTGATCATGTAAAATTAATTTGGATGGTTGGCCTCGATCAATCAGGTTGTATAATGAATCATAATTCTTCTTCAGCTATGCACATATAAACAGCTCTGAATAATGCGCAAGAAAGTCAATAAAAGAGACACCTAATTGCTGAAAGCAGTGTACATGTCGCTTTTTTTGTTTTGTTACAAGGGGTGGATCGAACCCGCAACACCCACACCCCACACACACACCACTCGGCCAAACGGCCAATTGTGGTGGGTTATGCCTTTTTAGAATGAAATTATCATTAGAAAATTTTGAGATGTGCTCATGAAATGAACAGTAATATGATGACGAGCTTACTCATATCATGGATAGAATATTCAACGTACTAAGAATTCTAGAGCTCAACCATAACCCGTCTAACCTAACGGGTGGTTCTTTGAACCCCCACCTCTTACGGTGGTCTTGTTGCCACTAGCGGCGTTTTTCTCTGCCATGGGCTCTGGTGCGGTAGCGCAGCAACAGGGAAGTGGCTGTGGCGGCGGCTCACTGCTCCTCTTGTTCTTTTATTTAGGGTTAGGGTTTTGTTTCTGTGGGCTTAGTTGTTTGGGCTGTGTTTTTTTGTGATGCTATTTATTTTTCCTTGTAAGTCTTTTTCTTTGTTAATGGATACTTTTCCCTGGTCAAAAAAAAAAAAAAACCATAACCCGTCCAAAAGCCCCCCAAAAAATAAAACTAATAAATATTAGGAATTGTAATTTGGTCCTGCTTCCGTCAGCATCACTTTGGCAGTGATGTGAAAGTAGAACAGTGGGAGAGACTATTGGACTTTTATTAATTATTGGACTTTTATTAATTAAAGAAGCTTTCAACTCAAAACTGTGCGAAGGGTATATAATATAAGCATTTAAGTGGAATAATTTTAACGCATAATATGTGATCTCAATTAAGCACATACACAACATCAAATCCAAGGAATATGAAAAGTCTACATCAGTACAATTTCGAAACACAATTAAGAAACATTAAACATAATTAATCGTAGGTAAAAGTATTTTCAAAAGAGTTCAAATCACAACTTTGAAGATTCCATAATGCACAAGAAATAGAATTTGGAGTTGCAGCAACAACAACATCTTTTCTTGAACGCACAAACACTCGAGGACTGCAAGAGAAGGAAGAAAAGGCAAATATCAAGTCAGAATATGAAAAGAGTACATTTGAATGAGCTCATATTAGTTGTTCCTACTGGCACTTGCAATTTGGGTCCTCAATATCTATCCATGAAATAAAGCTTATAGAGAGTGGTCCTGAACCAACTACGTACATTAATAGATTAAAAAGAGTAGAATGGAGTTGAAGGTAATAAATACCCTGATTTTGTTGAAATGGATGATAACAAAACCCGTTATTTATTCACCAATTAACATGTGGTATGTGAGCAAGTCCTGGCCAATCCACACCCTCTAATTTTTGTCTGTATCTCTCCTTTAAAACCGAGCAACCGATGACATCAAAATGTTGCAATGATGGGAGACTCTTTATCAAGTCTGAAAGTGATGCCAAAGCAATGCAGCCCCATAGGCTTAGTGTTTGCAATGATGTGAGTCTTCTAATAGACTCTAGAAGTGATGCCAAAGAAATGCAATCGGAGAGGTTTAGAGATTGCAATGATGTAACATTTCTAACGGACTCTACAAGTGATGCCAAAAAAAATAACAACTACTGAAGGTTAGTTCTTGTAATGATGTGAAACTTCATATCTACTCTTGACAACCATTTGCCAAAAACATTGTAAATAGGCAGTAATCTGATTGTGCGACGTGGCTCTAAAACTTCTAAAATTATCTCATCCTCATCATGCACTTTTTCTCCCATAAGTCCATATCTTAAGGTCAATCCTCCAAGATATGACATGTAAAGCAGAGACTATGATGACTCAATCTCCTTTACATTTCTCCACTGCCTTCTCAAATTTGTAATCTCCAAATGTCTCCTTAAACAGATTAGATCACGTAGCTCACTTATCCTTGCACCACCACTACCACTCACTTCGTCCACCACAAATGTGGTCAGTGTTTGGAGATTAATCAAACACCCCGAACCACTTGGCATGCATATCGAGCGCTTACAATAATCCAATTTAAGATGTCTCAGTCTTACCAATCTCTTCAAGTCACTAGGAAGTTCTATTAAAAATTGACAACCATTAAGTATTAGAGTCAGCAAGTTATGCAACTTGGTAATTCCTCATGAGAGCTTCTTAAGTGGCTCATTATTACTTAAGATATCTTAAATGCTTCAAGTCTATGATACTTTTTGGAATTCGCAAGTCTTGATTCGTAAGAACCAATACATGTAGCTGCTTCAGAAGTGATGTTGTGGACCTACAAATTAGATTAAAAACTTTTGACGAAGAGTGACTTGGGATAAATTTCCACTATCCTTTTACCGACAAAATTGTTCTCATTTTCTTTATCTTGATATTACCAAGTGGAAACTTCCCAAAATTGCCAAGATGACTTCACATATGACAAATCCCATAACCTGAGTTCTCTATATCTATCCTTTCACTTGTGACAATGTAACTCTCATTTTTACTGACTGTGCTAGATCATCTATGAGGTCATGCATCTTGCACCATCCTATGTCACCAAAAAAATCTCTCATCACATCTTGAAACAAGCACCTTGACAATAACTATTTGAAATACTCGTCACTAACATCTTCTAAGAACCTATTTTTATGTAAGGGTTAAACGAATCCCTCAGCTCTCCATAGCTGAATGAGTATTGTTCTCTCAATCTTATAATCTTTTAGAATTAGAGAGCAAAATGCAAAGCAATTTTTTAAATGGGAGGGAAGATGATCATAACTAAGTTTAAGGATGGAAAAGATTTTGTTGTCCTCAGAATCTGTAGTTGAAAGTTCATTATCCCTAAAATATGACCATTCACTCACTTCTAACTCTGTTGAACAATAGGATACCAATGGTTCTTATTGCAAGTGGAACTCCTGCATATTTTCTCACAATATCCTTTCCCATCCCCAAAAACCACTCTACAACATAGCTCCCAAGAGTTACCTTCATGCAAATCTTTCAAGGAAAGAGGCGGATGCGTGCCCATTGTATCTGCCACTTCCATACTGCTTGTAGTGACAACGATCATACTCCCTTTTCTTCTAGCCCTGAACAAGTTTTCTAATTTAAGCCATTCCCTACGATCCTTAATATTCCAAACATCATCTAACACACGTTGAAAAAGTTTCCCCTCAATTGTATGTCTCAATTCTCGGGCTGCTTGGTGCGCCTTATTAGCAGGTGTTTCCTGCTCAATAATCTTTTGAGCTAACATGTTATTGCCAAGTGCATGGGATTCATCAGACACACAAAGCCTTGTCATAACCTCAAAATGATTTTTATAGCCACATCATTATACACTTGTTGAGCAAGTGTCGTTTTTCCTTCAATTCCAACTATGGGAACTACCCGACATCATTTTTAACATTAGAGTTTAAATGGGTACTAACAAGACGCATTCTTTACTCATCTCTCCCCACAACATCTTGTTCGCTTGCAAACAGGTCGGTTCGTCTCCATTCATGAGACTCATTCGATGTACTCGAAGAGCTCTCATGCAATAGAAACGAATTCTTCTCGTCATAAATCTCGTCTAGTTTCTTTCTAATTGCCCTAATTTGCATCCCATTTTATGATCACAAGCACGTCGGTTTGATTTGGAGAAGAATATGCGTGCCTCCTTTGCCATTTTATCTTTGGTCATCACTTCCCTGGCTAGCTCCTGATAGACCATATTTTTAAGATGTTTAAAAAGTAGCCCAATGACATTTTCAGCAAGGGCTTCCATTGATTATCGATGGCAAATTCAAATGGGGTTTGTATGATGAGGAGAGTAATTGTAATAAACACACCTCTAATTGAATACAATTCGTGTAATAATCGGAGACATAATAAGAAACTACAATGCTTATATCATAATATGGAGAGGTTCAATCACGGGATTCAGCCTCAAGGGTAAGCAATTACACCTCAAAATTTAGAATAAGAGAAGTAATAGTCTTCTATAGAGGAGGGATTAATGCGGATAGTGAGCGGATGGTGAGGAGAAAGGCGGTGTGCGTACAGAGAGAAGTTAGATAACAAGTTAGGGTGTGTTTGGATTAGTGTCAGGTAAAACTGATTTCTAGTTTAATTGGCTTTTTTAATTGAAGTTAGAGTAAAAGTCAGTTAATATAATGCGATTTATGTTTGGATATGTATTTATAAAAAGTCAGTTGGAAAAGTTAAAAGTTCTTTGGATGATTAAATAGAGAAATGAGTTCAGTTGTAAAATGACTAAAAAGGATAAAGACTTTATTGAATAGTAGTGTTTAATATTTTATATTTTTGATGTGATAATAGTTAAAAAATTACCTAAAATTATTAAGATAAAATAAAAATAGTTTATTTGTGAGATTATAAAATAAAAAATTTGTTACAAAAAAAATTTGAAAACACATTGTAGATAATTAATTAAATATATATAAAGGACAAATATGAATGTAAATTAAAATTCATTTGGTCTCTAATAAAAGTAAATGAAATCACATAATTAATTAAATCGTAAGTTTTGTACAATTTGGTCTCTAATTGAGTCACGAACACGATTCATTTGTGCGATGAGAACAAAGGAGATAAGGCAGAGGAGAAAATGTGAGGGTCAATCTGGGTTGGCATATTTTTATTGCTCATTTAATGCTACACTAACGGTATAATGCATTTTGAAACTGCAGTTTGAAATGAAAAAAGTCATATTTTCCTCCGTTTTGTCCAACTAAGGTTGAAGGCTAGAAGTGGGTTGGGTTTTTAGCTCATCCAAACAACCATTTAGGGTGTGTTTGGATTGGCGTTGGGCAAAACTGACTTCTAGTTTAATTGACTTTTGTAATTGAAATTAAAGTAAAAATTAGTTAGTGTAATACAATTTATGTTTAGATTGATGCTTATTAAAAGTCAGTTAAAAAAGTTAAAAGTTATTTGGATGATTAAATAGAAAAGTGAGTTCAGTTATAAAAATTTATGGGAAGGGATGAAATTACATTTTGAAATGAAAAAGTCATATTTTCTTCCGTTGAGCCCAACTGAGATTGAAGGCCAGAAGTTGGTTGGACTTTTAGACCCATTCAAACAAACATTTGGTCCTAAATAAGTCATAAATTACAGTTTCATGCTTTCCCATGAACTTTTATCATTTTAAACTGCAATCCAAATATAGCCTTAGCCTTAGATATCTTGACTAGTTGCTGGCTTTTTGCTGTTATTGGCTACTTAATTAGGAGTTTCTTTTCCTAGTTTATTTCTTTTTTATGTTTTTTAAAAAAAGCCTAGGCTTGCCTTTGTATCTGAAAAAATAACAAGTTAGATAACCTCTCCACTTTTTTATGGCATTTCTTTCCACTGGTCTAATCCGCATCCTTCATCAAATTTATTGGTGAAGAAAAATCATTCACGTAAATGGATAGTTCTGCTTTGTGAAAATGCCATGGTGTTCTGTTCTTTAAAAAGGGAAATCAAAAGAATAAAAATAAAAAAGTGTAAGTCTTATGTTTGTTTTTTAAAAGCGCAAGATATTAAAATTCAATTAGCACTGTGCCGTCAGAACAGTGAACCAATGTTGTGGCTGTATTTCTCTTTCATTTTAAATTAAATAAAAAATATTATATGTAATCCTAAAAATATAATATTTAAATAAAAAAATCGATTAATTCATAAGTAAATAGCATCACACCATTTACATGAATCATTTTTAATAGATGTGATGAAGGGTGTGGCCTCGTGTGGATTAGAGAAGTGGAGGGAATTTGACCTTAAAGAATTGGAGAGGTTCCTCGCTCAGTCCATCCTAACGTCCAACTCGGTGTCACTCGAAACCGCGTGGGCTCTCTCCGTCTATAACTGAAAAAACACAAAAGCATGATATTTAAAGAGTTTTTCTAATGAAAATTAAATTATGATTTCAAAAATAATTTTATAATATACAAAATAAACACATGAAAACATTTGTCTTAGTCTGTGAAAAAATACTTTTTAAAAGCATTTTTATCTAAATACCCCCTTAATACCTTCTCATTGCACGCTTTAAAAACTCTTTCATTTTCTTTTTCTCCATGCCCTCGCTTTCTGTCTCTACGTTTTCCTCCCTTCTTTTTTTTATCTTATTATCTCTCTAGCTTTTCACTCCAAAACTACAGAGGAAGAGGATAGTATACAACCCCTTGGACTTATAAAAGAAAATTCCTGCTAAAGAAGATAGAAAAACACAGAAGACGCTATATATTTTATTGCAAGCAAAAATTAGAATAGTAAAAATATTACACAAAAGCCATAAACTTTTTTGAAAAAATTGCATGCCAATCGATTAAGATAGTAGAAAACATTTAGTTAAAAGGCGGCAGTATAAAATTGTTGTTTCTTAAGTATAGAATAATGACAATTTTTACGGTTTTTTTAATAACATTTTATTTGAAGGGAGGAATAACGGTTGGCCATAATTTTTTATGGCTTTGGCGTTTTGTTCATTGTGAATTTAAAGATGAACAATAGAAGACAATAAACAGGAAAAAAAATGAAAGAAAGAGTAGAGAGAGGGCGGGGGGGAAGAGAGGGTGTTTTTAATTTTTACAGTGTGTGATGTGAAGGTATTAAATGTCATCTGCATTTGCCTTTTTTCAACCAGAAATTAAATGAAGGGTCAGGATTAGGGAAGTGGAAGGAAACGGACGTAAAAGAAATGGAGAGACCCAGGAACACATACAAGATTTGTCACCACAAAAAGAATAATGATAACCCTACCATTAACCATTTCATTTATGAATTTTCTTGTAACAGAAATACATGTCCTATCAAGACAGAATTTGTAACCTATTATCCTCTTGCCTAGCAGGCAAAGATTCACCTCCATGAAAAGGATGATTCATTCGAATCGATATGAGTATCCAACACATTGCATTGCTAGTGCCGCACTTAAAAACCGGGTCTGAATTCTTTCTATTTCCTTTTTCAGTACTTCCAAGAAAAAAGGCCAAAACTATAATAACGTTCTTAATTAAAGAGAATGTTAATGGAAAGTAGACAGTTAATTAGTCCTAAAATCAGTAATGGAAAATTATTGAGAAAGGAAAGAATAAGAGACTCTGTGTGAAAAAGAATGGAGACAAATAAGAAAAGCATGCTCATCTTATCGGAGAGGAAATGGCATTTTTTTGCCGGTGACATGAATTCATATGCTTATCTTGCTCAACGACAATAATATGACCTCATCGTTCTGTGTCATGATATAACAATGAACATATTGCATTAGATACTTGTTTTGCCGTTAAACGTCAAAATTGTATATTAGTGCTATATCAATGTCAACATCATATTCAAATTCAAATTAAATTAGAGTTAATGTGAGCATTACAAACTATTTTTATCAGTACATCCAGCATTCTAAAATATTTTGATGTGTATCCAGCATCTTGAAGTATTTTTTTCAAGTGCGTCCAACATCTTTAAGTATTTTTTGGTGCATCCAACATCCTAATATTTTTTTGGGTGTGTTCAGCACACTAAAATATTTTTTGGTACATTCAACACTAAAGCAAAAAAAATTTCAGGGGGTTTGATGCTCCAAAAAAAAAAAACTTCAAAGTGCTGGATAAATCACAAAATATTTTAGAACACCTAAAAAAAACTTTATAACGTTGGATGTACTTTTAATCCATTAAATTAAGGAAGAATGACAAAAAAAGAAGTTGGAAATTACTAAATCTCAAATTAGGTTTGATAATAACACTTTATTTAATATTAACAACACTGAATTTGCAAATAACAACAAATTTTTATTGACATTTCATATTTGATATTTACAAATTTTCAGCTTATTTTTTGTCATTTTTTCTTAGATTAATAGCAGTTTAATTTTTCAATATATAGACATATTCTTCTCTTTGTAAAAATATTTTTTTTATGGAAAATAACACTTCTTTTATAATATCTTCATATATATTCTAAATGTTTTGATCGTAAAGAGTATGAATAACTTCATATTTGAAGAGAATTTCATAACTTACTGATTGCTCAAAATTAGAAAATGAAACAATTTTCTTTTTTTTTTCCCAATAACATAAAGAATTTTCTTTTATGCGAAGCTCAAAAAAATAATAGAGAACAGGAACAAATAATAGAGAAGAGGAAGATAAGGATCCTTAATTGAATGATCCATGATGTAGCAGTGTTTTTTTCATTATTTATATTATTTAAAAATTAAAATATTTAACCTTCGTTCATTAAATTCAAAAGCAGGTGGAAACAGAGTTGACTTTATACAAGTGACATTACATTCGAAGAAAAAATGTAACA